ATTACAATGATACTGTATGGCAGTTTCCTATAAAAATACAATTTCCAGTTGAATACACACAATCGCCAATGGTTGAATTTCTCGTTATAGCAGTATCTTTATATGTGATATTACATGTTTGCACGATTAGTATTCTAAATGGATTTATGTTTAATTTGGTAACTCATATTGCATATTTGTTATTTTAAGTTTTTGTCAATTTTTAATATAACAGTACAGATTTACACAAACTTATTAGCGTAAACGCTATTGCATGGAAATTTTACATTAATTAATTTGCAGAATTTTGTTACTTGTGAGACAATTTACACAAATACATGTTACGTTTTTGTATTAGACATTCTAAAATTTATTGTGATTGAGTGTTGAGAATATACATATATTACAGTCAAAAAATCTAAATTAAGTTTATTTTGTGAGATTATTACATTTATTGTATCTTTGTACCGAAAATATTCAAATTTTACATGCAATAATTATAATTTTTACAAAAATTTAAGTATATTATAGGTGCTCCATCTAAGCGGTCAGGTTGATATAATATGTCAAGAGTTCGAAAATATTTCCAAGAATATTCTTCTTCATAGATTTTCTATACCTTCATTTGGAATGCTGATTGAGAAGCATAATAAAGTCATTTTATTTTCCGAAAACATCGAACAACTATTTTCTTTTATCGGATTAATGCAGATTGTTTGGATTACCTTAGTTATTTGCAGTCTTGGATTTGTCTTGATAATTGTAAGTACTGTAATGAATATGGAATGGTTGTCATTTATTTCATCTATTTCTATTTTTGTTGTTCATTGAGCTAGTCTATTCACAATGAAACTGGTGTTTTCGCATTAGTGAAAACCATGATTGCTTACTTTACCGTGGTAATGGAAGTCTTTATGATTTGCTTTTCCGGAGAATATCTTAGCTCCAAAGTAAGTATCCAAAAGTGATTAATCATAAATTTTTAAATAAATTTTTTATCACATGATATTTATGCCGATATAATGATAGAACTGTATATATATGACATAGTTCTTTTAATAAAAATATATTAATATGTTGCTGTGTGTGTGTGTGTGTATGCGCGCGCGCCTGCGTGTGACTGTGTCTAAAATTCAAAATATTATTTATGTTAATTAATTTTAACCAAATAAAAGTTTTTTTTATTTTAAAATAAGAAATGTATTACAAACATTATAAATATTTTTAGAAATTCTGACAACATGACTGCTATAATAAAATGATGTCTAAAAATTATAAAATTTTTATTAATTATTAGTTTATTATAAATATAAAACTTATTATATTTTTAAATAACAATAAAAATGGAATCAATGAATAGTTTTTTATTTTGTTACTATAATATTTTTACAATGTCAAAAATAATACTGGAAAAAATCTTTTCTTGCTAAACGAATTTGAACAGATGAAAATGAACATAAAATATCGTCGTTTTATATTTGACAGTATTTGTATCATTTTTCAGGGCAAATCCATTGCCAAGGCAACATACGAGATGCCATGGTATGATATGCCGTCAAATCAGAGTAAAATTTTAATGTTCATAATGATGAGGTCGCAAAAACGACTAGCAATCACGGCGGGGAAAATGATGGATATGTCATTTGAAACTTTTACAAGTGTAAATTTTAAAATTTTTTAA